GGAAGCAGGGTTGGAGCCCGGGCAGTCCGAGGCGCTAGAGAGGGCCTCCCCAGGACCCCGGACTCCCAGGAGGCCGTGCGGGTCGGCAGCGCGGCTGCAGAAGTGCCCTCAGAGCTGGCGCACCCCCGCCCTGGGAAGGCCACACTGCAGCAGGCGAACAGACTGTCCCCAAAGCCAGGGCCACCTGGAACCATGTCAACAGGCTTTAAAGCCAGCTTCGAAAGGATAACCCTGTACAGCAAGCAGACTAACTTCCTGCCGGAACAAATCTCACGTCCTTTAAAGAAAGACAGGAGAATCTACACACCCGCAAACGTGAAAGTCCTCAAGTTGAGCATGCAGTAAAAACATCACTAGACACAAGAAGCAGCAAGGAAAAGGGACCCACGACCAGCAGAAAGCCAGTCAGCGGCTCCCTCACACCAGATGCAAATCTGGTTCAAAACCGGTCAGAGACTAAATGCAAGGGCGCAAACGATAAACCTCCCGCAGGAACTGGGGGGAGTCTTCACGCCTTTGGGTTTGCCAATGGGTTTTTGATACGAAGCCCAAAGCCCAAAAACAGATAAATTAACTTCGTCGAAACTGAAAATTTTCCTGTGTCAAAGGCGCTACTAGGAGAGTGAAAGGCAGCCAGCAGAGCGGGAGAAAACGCCTGCAGGCCACGCGTCTGATCAGGGTTAGTATCCAGAATAAGTAAAGAGCCCCTAAAATGCAACAACACCAACAGGAAACCAAACCACTCAGTCTGAAAACAGGCGAAGGGCCTGAATAAACATTCCTCCGAAGGAGACACGCAGACGGCCAGTAAACACACAGTGATGCGCAACGTCACCAGTCACCAGAGGAAAGCAAGTGGAAACCGCGATGGGACACAATTCCATTCCCAACAGGATGGCTACTGTTGGGAAAAAATCAGAAATCAAGGATCCAGGGTGTGGACAAACTAGTCCTTATGCATCGCTGGTGGGAATGTACACAGAATGGTGCCGCTCCCGTGGAAAAGGGTATGGTGTTTCCTCAAAAAAAATAAACAGAACCATCATTTGACCCAGAAATCCCACTTCTGGGTCTACCTCAAAAGAACTGGAAGGAGGGACTCATGCACCCATATTCACAGCAGCACTATTCACGGTAGCCAAAGGGTGGAAGCAACCCCAGTGTCCACTGGTGGATGACGGATGAACCCAGCGTGGTCCATACACACAGCAGCAAGTGATTCAGCCTTAAAGGAGCGGATTCCTGACGCCTGCTGCAACATGGATGAACTTTGACGACATTAGGCTCAGTAAGAGAAGCAAGACATGAAGGACAAATGCTGTATGAGTCCACTTATCCGAGGTCCTGGGGCCACCAGATTCACAGAGACACAACGTACAGTGTGGGTGCCGGGGGTCGGGGAGGGAGACAGGGAGCTAGCGTTTAATGGGTCGAGTTCAGTTTCGGGGGATGAAGCTCTGGAGGCAGATGATGGTGACGGTTGCACAACCGTGTGACTATTTCTAATACCACTAAACCGTACATTTAAAAATGGTTAAAATGGTAAATTCCATGGGATGAATGTTGCTACAATTTTAAAAATCCCCCCCAAAGAAGGCAACATGCTTTTCAGAAAAACTAAGGCTACGAGAGTCCATTGCCAGCACGACTACCCTGTAAGGAGGTCTACACTGCAAGAAACGTCAAAGGGAGTTCTTCAGATGGAAGGAAGCGATGCCAGGTGGGAACCTGGATCTGCGTCAGGGGAGAGGGGCCCCGGAAGGGCTGACTGCGCGGATAAATAGAAAAAATCTTTTCTGGTTTCCAATTTATTTAAAGTGTTTAAAGCAAAGATAGTAACAACATATGGAGTTTATAACATATAGAAACAAACCCTATGACAACAGTTGCACAAAGGACACGAGAGAAGAATGGAAACACATTGTTGTGAGGGCCTTACGTCGTACGTGAAGCGCGTGATGTCATCCGAAGGCGGACTGTGGTGACTGAAAGCTGTACCCTGCAGACCCTAGCGTAACCACCAGGAAACCAGGACAGAGAGCTACAGCTTATTAGCAAACGGTGCAGACGAAGTGGAAGCCAGAAATTAATTCGAAAGAAGAAATAAGCAGAGGAAACAACAAACAGTGAAGAGATGGGACGAACTGGACAAAAATTAGCAAGGTGAGAGACTTAACCCCAACCGGACTGGACACTGGAATAACGGACAGAGGTCGTCGCAGTGAACGGAAAGCCGAGAGCCAACTCGCTGCTGTTTACTGAAGCCCACTCTAAACGTGACACGGACGGTGGGATTTATCAGGGCAGCAGAAGAAATCTCACGTGAGCACTGCTCACAGGAAAGCTGCGGTGCTCATACGAGTACCAGGGAAAGCTGACATCAGAAGGGTGAGTGTCACCAAGAGGGGCCTTTCATAGGGGAGAGGAGTCGATTAAAAGGCTTGATGTTACCTATTCTGGAGGTTCCTGTCTTTTCACAGCATATTTATTTGTTCACTTAATAGAGGGTTTCGCTCTTTATTCATGGCCAAGGTGGCCCTGTTCTGGTACCAATGTCTGGTCCACCAATTACGTCCTGGAAAATTCTTAAAGGTGCCAATAGCTAGGGAGCACTCTTCATCACCTTTAAATAACTCAATATAGTCTCGGTTCATACATTTGAAACAAAATCAAACTCAGTAATGATCACTTTCATAGGCTTATAATTTCCACTAAACTTTCAGAAATATTAAAAGCAAAACCAAAAAAGCAGAACAAAATAAAAGACTTGATATTCATAAACATCCATGTCCTTCAGAAAGAGAGCTTCAAAATACATGCATGAAGCAAAAATGGATAGAACTGTAAAGAGAAGCAGGCACATCCATGAGAGGTTATGGCTGAGATTTCTGACCCCTTCCTCAGTAACTGGCAGAGCAAGCAGGCAGTGAGGCTGTGGGAGGCCTGGGCAGACCGGAGCCAGCACGACCGGGCTGGCGCGTCTGCCCTGCCACAGCTGGACACACGTTCTTCTTAAGGGCATGTGGAACATGCGCCAGGATAAACCACATCCTGAGTGACAAGTCTCAGTGTGTTTTGAAACAATGGAGTTTTATAAACATATTATCTCACCGAATCAGAATTAAATCAGAAATCAGTAACAGAAATATGTCTAGAAAACCTCTAAACATTTCAAAATCAAACGACAAACTTTTAAAATGTCCTATAAGTCAAAGAAGAAGTCACAAGGCAGGTCGGGGGTACTTTAAACTGATGACAGTGAGACCCCACTGTGCCCAACATGCAGGAGGCAGCTAAAGCCGCCTCTTGGAGGCAAATCTGTAGCTTTAAATACATGGCTTTCTAGTTTATATTAGAAAGAAGGTGAAGGAGGTTTTAATAAGTATTTATGGAGCCGGGGGAAATCTAAAGCTGGCTGGCGTTACAGGGGCCTATCTAGGGGTGTCCAAACCCACACACGTTTTGCAGCACGTACAGCTTTCCTACTTCAACGGTCACAGTTACCTTGGCCTTTGTGGCATTTCATGGTGGGATGTGCTTTCAGAAACATGCGATGCTTCTCACGATGACCCACTTTATAAAGTGGGTTTCAATTCCAGAGAACCCTTGCAGGCCTGACAGTCACTGGGGCCTGTCTCGCGGCAACGCAGTCAGCACCGTTAGTGAAGTCACCTGGGGAATCCTCAGTGCAGTTCAGTAACTCACCGTGTTGTTAGTGATCGATGACTTCGCCACAGACCTCCCGAGGCCCCGCCTTTGCCCCGGCGTCACCGCCAGCCACGGCGGGTCACCTGCCGCTGTGACAGCCCTTCCCGGGGAGGGTCCTCCCTTCCAGGCTGGGAGCTTCCAGACGGACTCCACTGGTCTGCTCTTTTTTTTCAATTCACGGGTCGCATATATTCTTCCTTTCTAGCATTCTTAGTAATAAATCACTAGATGGATCAGTTTTTCCTCCTATTTTTCTTGCCTGAAAATCACGTGGGTGACCCAGCCCCTCCTACGCCCCCAACAGAAGATGAGTGTCCCCAGAGGGCAGTGTTGCTGGCACCTCTGACGTCTCAGAAAGCTTCTAAGCATTCTAAACGGCACCTAAATCCATCTCAAAATTTGAAAAGACACACTAGCTCAACAATCTAGCTGGTTTTGTGGGTGAAATGGTAAATTAAAGCCGACTCCAGCGGAAGCTGAGACCACGTCTGCACCTCGGCTTCCTGGTGCAGGGGCTCCCCCACCCCTGCCGGCCTCTTCTCTCCGTCACTCGTGAACCCCGAGCTGGGCCACGCGGCGAGAGTGCGAGCAGCCCCGGCCTCGACCTGTTCACGACTCGCTATTAAATTTGGGAAACACAGTAGCGGACCAGCCCGCGGCGAGCTCCTGAGAACTGCAAACTTGACTCCGACCAATACTCTGCTGCCCTTTTCTGGACAGATCTACCGTTCCCTGTCTGCTTGTCACACACGCCCAGGTAGCCGCACTGCGTCTCCGCCTCTCGTGGGTCTGCCCACCTGCGGCTCTTGGAGGCAGATCTAAGGGGGCCGATCCCAGGGGCCGTTCCCAGGGGCCTCCTGTCTCCAGCCCATCTTGGGAACCAGCTCGCCCCTCCTGAGAGCTCTGGAGGCCAAGGCCCAGCCTCGGCTTTGGAGCCTCCCTTCTCCCACCCGGCAGGCGGGCTCCCAGTGGCCCCACCTCCCCATCACGGAACTTCACTCCCTCCCCTCCGCACACTCCTTCTCTCTCCAATCCCAAACCACGGGAGCGTGAGCAGGCCCCTTCACACTCACCCCTCGCCCCCGACCATGCTGTCCCCAACAACGCCTGAGCAAGGCTCCCAGAGCGCAGGGCTCAGGCTCTGCCTGGTGCCACGCGTCACAGCCGGAGGCTCCAGTCCGCAGGTCCACGAGCCCTGCCCTTCTGGCTGCTCCTGCGTCCAGACGAATCCTACTGGGGCCCGGAGGCTCTGCTCTCCTCTCCTGCACGCCTGAGGGGCCTCACTCATCTAGACGGGGCCCCAGGAGCGGGCGGCCCCTTCCCATCAGGGAAGACCAGGGTTCACCCTCTGCTCAGCGAGGCCGGGCGGGTGGCTCTGCTCAGCCCCAGGGGCCCGGCCCTCCCACCACGACGGACTTCGGCGCTTCCACAGCGAGGCCTCCTCACCTTCAGTCTCATGGTTTTCTAACTCAAAATGAGTTTTGCGGTTCCCACTTGCTGTTAAAACCTGAATCACTTGATTTTTATTGGTTGAGATTCCTTTTTCTGAATTGTAAGTGGCCTCATTTTTACCTGTAAACACGAGCAGACTGTACCTAACTACGCAGGAAGGACTTCAGCCCCAAGGAGGAACACCAGTCGGCGCGAACTTTGAAGCTGGCGGGAGTCGCTCTGGATATTCCTTAAGAGGAGCTGCTTCAGTCAGGACGTCAGGACGTCAGGACGTCAGGACACGGCGGGGGGGGAGGGGGGTCGGGGCGGGGGCGGGTCGTCGCGAGCGCGTCCGCCCCGCCCGCCCGGCGGGCGTCGTCGACCTACGTCCGGTCCGTCGACCAACCTACCGTTCGGGTAC